AAAAGCTAATCTACTGGCTAGGCATGAGCGTTCACAAGCGGAGGTCCCGTTTTCATAGCACTCGGTGCAAGGCAGGTGCAGTCGGAAGAGCCTCTGGCGCGCATCTGTCGGAACTCGGACGCAATGCGTGTCATGTAGGAGGTCCCGGTTGAAAATACAAAGTGGACTCAAACCGCTGCGGACGGAGTAAGGAAAATCTCAAATCGAGGTGTATTCAGGTATAATGTTAATGGAGGCGAATGATTGAGGAGGAGTTGGTGGAGCAATCCTTTTGCTGCCCCACCAATATGAACCAGGGACCATCTCAGCTTCACTCCATTAACTGATGGTGTCGCGTATCTCCCGACTGGAGCCGACCAGACTGTATAACCAGACTGTCATGTATGTAAAACCAGACCGTATAAAATCCCAGTACGTACGCGTACTCGCATTGGCTTGTCCATCGTCCATCATCTCCGCTGAGGTGAGGCTAGGTCTGACCACGCGTCGACGCAGGTGTCGGACGCTTTATTTGACATCGATCCAGCTCCATCAATCGATCGGTATAGGTGACAGTGCACATGCGGATTGAGGTGTACCTATACCGCTATACGTAGCCTGCTGTTCATACGCACGTAGGAGTAGTATGTATGTTGGCGGGACATCCTAAAACTCGTACGATAACACGCAAGATAGATCGAGAGGAGTAGATCCTAGGTGGATGCATGCATGGGAATCTCGGAGCAAATCAGACGGCGACCACCTGAAAGATTGAGATGGATGGGTGCATCTTTCCTTTCTCCTGGGGAAGGAAACGCGTGCCTTCTCGCTCCTTTAGCATGCATTTCTCCCCTTCTGATCTTGCAACAAGCCAACAACGGTGGTACTGAAGCACATTCAATTTCACTGGCTCAAGCACATTCAATTTCAGTGCAGATATCAGCCACTGCCATGGTCTACCTCTGTCCATGAGTGGTGGAAAACAATACAAACAATCATTAAAAGCGAAATAACACACACGGTCAGGCGGTCAGCGATCACTGAGCGAGAGCTGAGCACTGAGCACTGAGCTAGATAGAGATTCCATTGATTAATTTCTCCAGAATACAGGCGGGAGTGGGAGCACGGGCCAGCAGCTCCTCTGTGCACGGGGGGGCGGGCGTGTGTAGGGGCCATGCATGCATGCCATGGCAGAACGCATGCATGCGATCATACACGCGCGCGGGGGGCACTCGTAGCCGGCCGACGACGATGCCATTGCACCAGTCCACCGTGACTGGCCACGGCCAGCGTAGGTGAACTTTTATGGGTGAATCAAATGGATTATATGGCCCGCCAGACCACAACAGATTTTTTAAGAGAGACGGACTTCGAGCTAGCAGATGTAGCTATCTTTTGGTTTTGGAGTACAACAGATTTTGTTTTTCAAGTTCTTGGGCGGCAGCTATATCGGGCCTATTTTTTTGCATAGTAATACGTGTTTTATTAATAAAATAAAAATCCACTTACAAGGCATGTAAACATCGACCTTACAGGACTGAAAAGATAGAATAATCCTATGAAAAAACCAACGCTTGTCCCTCTCCACTAAAGAAAAGAAGACATATCATCTCTTCATCCGAGCTCGACGCGGCTCCATCACTGATCAGCAACTTTACGGACCTCCAAAGTAGTTTGCCTGAAGCAACGCGGCTTCATCGCTGATCAGCAACTTTACGGACCTCCAAAGCAGTTTGCCTGAAGCAAAACTATTGCCGTTGAAAGAATCATACCAGGGCAACGTGTCCCCGGACACGCCATCGAACTTCAGAACTGATACCCACGCATGACTACGACGTCGGAGGAGGAAACCAGAACTGTCAGCCTACAACCACAACCAAGCACAAGATGCACTATCTTCCAGCTGTCACTTGCATAGACAACCGTCTGCGCGTATTCCTAGATGAGAAAACCTCCCTGCTCCACCATGACGTCGGAGACAACGCCGCAGCAACGGGGACAGAGCAGAAGGAGAGACACACCTGATGGAGTCGCTGCCGCCGCCTTGCCGACACGATGCCATCAACTCTGAGACGCCCCCATGAAGGGCACCGCCGGTGTGGGAGTGAAGTTAAGACATATTTATTCGTCTGGACGCCGCTCCCACCATCCGAACGGCGCTCCACGACCTACAAATCCAAACCTTAACTACAGAAGCAAAGGAACGGGGTCCCCCCTCCCTCCTGCCGCCGGAGCAGTAGCCAGAGGGAGAGCGGGCCAGTGCCCTCGCCGATAGGCGAGGATATCGGTGGAAGGAGATTGCCTCCCTAGTCGCCTGGCTCCTGGTGGCGGCTAGGGTAGGAAACCGAATATGTTCCACGGGTTAGCTATATCGGGCCTAGCTAGACTAATAATGCATGCATCCTCTTAGTTTTACATAAAGGAACTTCGGGTATACAAAAAATATAGTAATTTTTTCCCAGAATGCCAGAATATATACTACTGCAACGCACGTGATTTTGGTACCACCTGGTCTATTTACCATAAGTTACACAAACTTGCATACATGTTTCTTGTCACCCGAATACAAAGAATATACTTGGTGTTAACTATTTTACATGAAGAATATTTGGGCTAAAAATGCATGTCCCCCAAAGGTAGCTGGGCTGTTGACATATATATACTCCCCCTTCCGGTTTATAAGACACAAACACATTTTTAGGTCGCCGGGAGGTTGAGAGGGGTTCACTTCCAACACATTGAGGATAAAGTTCCAAAAGAAAATTATTTCCTTGGACGGGCAAACATTTCACTGAGGCAGGCTGCACTGCCTTTGGTCAAGGCAGTCCTCACCTCAATCATGGTCTATCACCTAAGCTCAATTGACATCCCGAATGAGGACTTGCAACATTTACATGATAAGAAGGGCTTTCCTTTGGGCGGATTCCGATAAATTCTCCACTGGCAAATTCAAAATAAATTGGGAGACGGTTTGCCGCCTCACCACTCTTGGAGGGCTCAGGGTCCTAAACCTTGAGAAATTTGCGCTTGTTCTGGGGGGTTCCATTGGCCATGGGTTGAATGGACCACCCGAGGCAGTACTTGGGTGGGCACCAGTAGCCCGTGCAATACCGAGGACATGGGCCTATTCTACACTTTCACTGCTATCGCTATTTAGGACGACAACATAACGAGCTTTGGCAAGCCGCTTGGGCGCAGCATGCCATTGGAGTAAGGACATGGGTCCCTCTATCTTCGACATTTCAAAAAAGAAGAATCGATGCATTATGGATGCTCTCCATAACAATGCTTGGGTCTACCACATCAACTTGGAGAACGGGCTCACATTACAACACATACTTGAATTCATCAAACTTTGGCGGGTCACGTCCCAAGTTCAATTCCAAGCCAACAAAGTCTGACACCATTTCATGGACCGTCCTCTGGGCATTACTCCAGGGCCTCTTCTTATCTTGCCCAATTCATCGAGGCCACATCCACTAGTTTCGAGGCTATTGTTTAGAAAAATTGGGCTCCTCATAAGTGTAAGTTATTCACGTGGATCATCATTCAGAGTCAAGTTTGGGCGGTGGATGAACTCACCAAGCGTGGATGACCTAATTGTGGGCTTTGCCCATGTGCAAGAGAACTCCAGAGATGGCAGCGATATTGCTCTTTCAATGTCGTCTCTCCATCTGAATATGGACTATGGTGAGGAATTGGTTCGATCTCCCCGGCTTCACACAAAATCTTGGCATGGCTTCAACAATGTCAAAACTTGGTGGATTGACATGGGCGGCGAAAGGTGTTGGTTTCCCTCATAGGGCTTGTCACTTGGAGCTTTGGACCGAGCCCAATTCAAGAGTCTTCCACAACATTTCTACACCGCCTCACATCATCATATCCAAATTCCGTAACGAGGCGCGAAATTGGGCATTAGCCGGAGCAAAACACTTGCGTAATTTTATGCCAGGATAAAAAACATTTGTTTTGGCCTTCGGGCTTGTAAACCTTGTTAAACTTCTCCGTATTTAATGTATGGGGTTTATCTTTTGCCCTTTTCAAAAAAATCTTGATCATAAATTTAACCAAGAAAATGTGAGTTATATGTCAAAAATCAACCGTTATGATGTGTAACTCATATTTCGTTGATCAAATTGAATATCTACAGAGTACGTTCATGGTTTATGAATAGTAAAGCAGTGAGTATTTTACATAAGGTATTAGTACTTCCTCCGTTTCATAATTATTGTCATGGTTTTAGTTCCACGGCAAGAATTATGGAACAGAAATAGTAAATCAAACTCTGTAGCGCAAACCACGTGTTCCTGTGACCCTAGCGGCATACTGTAAGAATACAAAATACGGGTACACATTGGAAATTTGTAACTAGATGTTGACTAGAATATTCTAGTGATAAATCATCTTCCTGTACTACTTGCCCTCCAAGTTTGTACCTCTATATGCACTCGCCCCTCGAGGCTCAGTAGTCATACAAGGACGCATGTATGAGCTAGGGATTATCCCTGTGAAAGGCGGTAACTTAACGAGAGAGTAGACCATAATGTTGTGCCATTAATATTAAATTTGCCACTTTACCTTGAATGACATTTGGATATAAAATCTTTGTTGATCCATCATATAACATCCATCAGTTTCACGTTTTACATTAAGGACATGGGTGCTACATATAAACGTCCATTTAGTCTTTATGGGAGGCTTAGCTTTTTGCACCCCATGATGTTGCATTCTTATATGGTTCAGTATATAACCGAATGCAAATCAACTGGGTAATAAATGTATTGCATTTTCTAGGTAAGGTTATTGAGGATGGTTGAAGTGACCTGCACTAGCCAAACCAAATCCTAATACAGACATGTTCAAGCAAGGTGATTGTTTTCAAGCAATTAAATAACAAACTAGCGATCAAGGGGTTTATTCAGACGCCTTTTATATGCATGGACGTTAGCTAGCTAGCTGCATACACTTCCCATATGCCTCTTTCTCACTTCATGCATATCACTCGCTCATGATCTATGTACTCACTCACAAACTGATTCAGAAATTAACTTAGGTTTTCCTTAGGTTACTCACAATATGAAAGTATCATGCATATAGGAATATATGTCTCAGTAGAGACCTTGAACTTTCTGGGGGATAGGCGCCGCGATGGCCTCGTCCAGCTTCTTGCTGCTCTCATTGGAGCCTAGCCCGAAATGAATGTTTGGGAAATGCGCCCACTGAAATAGAAATAGGCAGAGTTATATAAATTCACAGTAGTTTTTCATATCAATTGTTTCTGGAGAGATTCAGAATAGATATGGATTTCAGTAATAAATACTAGGATCCGGACCCCTCTGAAAGTATTTGAATATTTTTAAACATAGATAATCTGAATTATGCCATAATTTTCCGTGTGTGTTCAAACATGCCCTAGAAATGGCGCAGTTATATGCTGTAGTGTATGATATGGCAAAAGCAAATGGTAGAGCACTATGTAATATCTAGCAATTAATATGTTGTTTCTTTAATCAGCTGTAACGTGTAATTCTTACACCAGAAGGATCCTAATGCCAGTAACACTATGGGTAAATTTTTTGTGGTCGATCTTAGCACCCCTAAAAGTTTTTTTATACTTTTCATAGCTGGTTTATTCTCGCTGTTACTCTATGTGTAGATCAAATTTGAATTTGAAATTCTGTAGGATTATAGACACCTATCACATTTTTTTTAAATCGCAACTTTTTATGGATGCTACCGTGCAGTGGTAGCATGGTACCGCCCCAAAACTAGAACATTTCTCTACACAAGACATACATTGAAACTCCTATAAGATCAATATGCATAAATGATCAACTGTGAAGTATTATGACATGCACATGTGTGAAACAGTGGTAGTAAAATAATAGCCTATGTGTTATGCAAAAAATGTACTAACATTCTTTGCTGCGGTGCTGAAGGCTTCTCTGTGGCTTATGTCAGGGTTGTTTGTTTTTATCCTTCGTATCTCCTCCCTGCAATTGATGTGCCAAAATCGAATTATTAGTACAACGCAGCGCAGCTTAATTGTTGTCAGTGCAAGCTTGGAATTGATTGATTAAAGCTTACTTAATAAATCGGTTATACGCTGAAGGAACCCGCTGCCTCTTCTCAGGAGCTGCTGTATGCATGTAAAGGTTCACCAATATAAACTTAATCAGGAGCTAACACTTTACATGTATATTACTCTCAAATCCATCACTGAATATTATGCAAATACGAAGTTATTTACTTTCCGTTTCATGAATATATAGTTACATTCTGCGGTACAATGTTATTTGGTTCTGAATGACAAAGCTATGAACTCCTATACGAGGTATATATAGAGTTATTTTCCACAGAGGTATGCCCATCATACATCTTGAATGGCAATGCCAAGTTTCTTAAATAAATTAAGTAATGCTGTATGGGATATCTAAATTTCATTTCTCTATTCCTTTTCCATATAGAGCTGCGTTCCTGTTTTGTTTCTAAATATCAAGCACGTGAGATGTTTCAATACAATATTGTAGTTTTCACAACAACAAAAATACAATATAGTAGTTAACCAACACCGACCTACCATGCATTAAGTTTTTTATTTTCTGAATTAGTATCACTGTAGAACAGAAAGGCGCGCATATCTCATCGTAAATATGTAATATCTCCAACTTCCTAAAACTGTAGAAGGAACACCTATCTTAGTTTTGGAGTCGGTTTTTGCCACACCGCGGGACAATGTAGGTGTTGGAACTTGCCCTCAGGATCAATCACATCAAATCACGACGAACACGCACACGAAAAACTCTGGCCAAAATCACGACGGTGTTACAACTTGATAGAACAAAGCATAGCCGGCTGGTGCGTATACACACACACACACAGCCAACACCACCGTAAGCTAAGTCCTAATCAGACCCAAACTACTAAACCTACTCAGACACAACCAGGATACAATTCCTAACCGGACTCTCTAATCACCGGTTACCTTGAATACTATTGCACTGCCTATAGGACACGTAGGAACTAGTCCTACACAACACACTAGCTAATCCTAACACGGACACAGCCTAACACAACACGCTAGTCCTACACGGTGAATCAAATAGATTTGATTCGCGTTATAAGAGTAAAAATTCTGCGGGTCCTTTCCGCTCTAATCAGATAAAGGGGGATTTCTCTAGTCAACCAGGAAGATCATGAAAAATAGACCAATTTGATTTCATTGTCATTCCATTTCCCTAATATGTGGTTCTGAATGCATTAGGCGGAGCCCTTTTTTCTATTAAAATTCGTTCAAAACAAGGACTTTGAGCCTTCTTATGGACTATATCTTACCTCGTACAGGACCAAGGCATGTACTACATGCGTGTTGCCCAATACTAGCATAGTCCAAACTAAAACTAACTAATTAACCTGCTAGAGAAGATTATTGCTAACAGTAGATTAGTTTATCGTAGGTTGCATGAACAATTTAAGCCGATATATCACCAGCTCTGTCTCTCACATTCGGTCTAACTAGGGGCGACAATCTTCACTTTTCGATGCTCTTCTGGAGATCAACTGCCGAGTGCCGACACATGACCAATGAAACCATTATATCCATGCGGCAAAAACACTCTCTAAAACCAGTCAAAGAATATATATTTTTGCACTGGTTTCACAAGTTAGCTTCAGAGTCCATCATGGTGTAATCTTCAGACCATAGTAATTCATCTATTTATGTTGGTCAAGAGGGCAAAAAACAAAGTTTTGGTTGACAAACTAAAACGTACAAATAGAACATATATATATGCATTGGTCTTACGTCTCATGTGGAGCATATGCTCTTGGTCACTTTTTGTTGAGAACATCATTGGCATCCGGTATTTAGAAGATGTGCCATAGTCCGGGTAATTTCCACGAAAGCTGATATTGTGGGCCTTGAAATTCTCCTGTCACCAAGTCAAGTAATTAAGTTAATTCATTAAGTTGAAGCATCATTATGGAGATGAAACCCAGAAGAACATTAGGCTAAAGCATCATTTTTGTTGTTGTAAAAATGGATTCATACTTCATAGTATATTTAACTTTCAGTATAGCACACCATATAATACAAAGTAACATATGTTAACAGTACAAACTGTGCAAGACTCTTGCTCAAAATCAGTAAAACTAGAACGACGAACCGTGCATGCACGACACTAAAGATGTGCCATTCTTCCATGTGAGCTTTAATACTCTTTCCTGTGAGCAAACAGTGTGCATGCTGTAGTTTGTCTTTACTGTATAAAGTGTTGAAGCATGACATGACCCATGCATGCACGCTGGCTTTTCTCTCCTACAAAGCTAGAGTATCAGTTAGGGTAAGCTATGCTAGGAGTTTCGTTTGGCATCTACTACATGCCTCTCCCTTCCAGTAGGAGTACTTACCATTCTTTCTACCCCCTATGGTAACACAGATACAAGCAATGCAGTAGTAATTAATTATACGGGTAACATGTGAAATGAGGAATTTCTGAAAAATTTGTACACACTAGGCATGATAATTTTATCTGCAAGACTAGCATATCTATATCATTTTTGTATAAGAGTGATCTAATTAACGATGCCAACCATTACAACTGCTTTGAAAAGTACGCGTAAATTTCATGAAATATTAGTACTATTCATGTCAACCTGGGAATGATCTTGCACAGGTGGCGACTGGATTAATCCCCTCAAGTTCACCGACAGCAGGCTCGTGCAGTGCCCGCAACGGACGGTGACGATGTTCAGCATGCTATTACTTGGAACACTGACCTGCAGATTGATCATATGTAAGGGGACACAGTTGTTGGGTTTCCTGAGTTAACTAAAGCTGTAAAGAATATGGGCAACTGAAGAAAATTACTAGTTGAAACCAAACAGCAAAACAAGACAAACAAAAAGGAAGAAACATAAGAACAAAATGACCAGCTCTCTCTGTGGATGAAGTAACAAATGCTAAATTCCAAAGAAACATTTTCAAAAGGCTGGAGCAGATCTACACACTCATATATGTTGATATGCACACAGCCATAGCTTTTTGCTCTCTGAACATAACCAGGATTTCTCTATCTCTCTCTCTCTCCCTCTTTAATTAACTCCTGCCTGCTGTAAAACAGTCGCTCTCCATGACTTTTATCAGGGCTCTGCAACCTGCAAGCAGCTGGACCAAATCAGAACTAGGGCATCCTTTTCCAATGCCTGCCAATTGGTTGCCACCTTGCCCTTTCCATTTTCTTTTCAGATTTCCTTGTTGAGTGCCCTGGCCTGCAACCAAACCACAACCTGAAGAAGGACCATGTCCTAGCTGTGCTCACTTTGTTTGATTCCTCACAGCCTTCTTTTCTGGGGGCACTCACTCCCATAAGAATGACTAGTATAACCAAGTGAGCCAAATGCATCTGCAAATGATTGTGTTTGCTGTTGCTCGCATGAAGGGAGTTGGCTCAAATCACACTCCATATCTTGAGGTGCTTTTTTCGAGAAAAATGTGTGCACCTGCAAATCACACCCCATCTCATGCTCCCTCTCTCCCCCATTATTGTAGAGAAGCACAAATACTATACATCCTGAGGGCGTTTCCTTAGAAAAAAAACTGATAATGAGTTAAAATTGTCACACATGCATGCATGCTCTTCTAGTACCATCATTTCTGCTCCATGCTCAGTTCAGTGCAAAAAGGATTAAAGATCACAGCAAGAAACACTGTACTGTAGGAAAGAGAGGAAGATGACAGCGACGGTTCATGCAGAAGGCACTTCACGCGCGCTAGCTAGCCTTAGCTCACGCTCAAGCATACACTGTGCATGGTACAGCTCGTAGTGGGGCATGCAGGTGTGTGAGTGTCTGTCAACAAGCTAGATCCATCTCTCCTTTTGAGCTAGCTCTCATGGGGAGGGGAGAGAGAGAGAGAGACGATGATCGAAGACGGCATGCACCTGGAGAGGCGGATAAAGGCAACATCTTGTGGAATTATTTCAGGATGAACATCAAATGATCAGTTTAACGTTCAGATTTGGTGGGTGGGAGATTTATCAGCTGACCGGATCTCTTTTTCATCCTGATTGCTAGAGACCAAGACGGCATTACTTCAATGTCGAAGTTCATATTGATAGTACTTGTACCAAGCATCTGCACATATGGATGAACCACACACTGAAGAGATATTGATAGCACTTGTCGCCTATGCAGAAGCAGAGTGGAATAGGTACAAACACACTAATGATCGATGGCAAGGACAAACTAAATCCCAAAATCAGGGAGGGGGGAATCTGAGGTCTCAAGCTCCTCTGTCAGTAGTAGTACTAGTTGCAGTAAATTTTGACAAGTTTCATGCATCACTGCAAGGTGCAAACAAAAAAACAAAAGGACATGGAGAGTGAGAGAGGCAGGTCTTCCAATAAGTCCTTCGAATCAAGCTCGGATTTATAACCATCAATTTTCCAATTTAGATTCGCTTTTATTTACTTCTACTTCCACTTCGACATCTGATAAACTCTTCCACACAAAACCAAGGAACAAAGCACTTTGTAAACACATGACAGAAGAAAAACCAAGGAAATCAACCGAGACAAAGCACAGCTGCACAGGAGCATGGAGAAGAGGAAAATAAATATGAGGACAGGAAGCATCCCTTGCTTGGAATTTCTTGCTGGCAACTGGCAACTCACTAGCTAGCACAGTATGCCACTGTTCCTCTATTCCAATAAATAAGTGAATACAAGGTGTCTTGATGTTGCGAAGGCATTAATTCTAGCGTAAACTAATACTCCCGCGGAAAAACGTGACTTGGTTCAGATGAATAAAAAATACCCAAACAAGTGATTAAATTGAGATCAATAACTTGATCCCAGCAACATTACCCCAACATTGAATTGCTACTGAGATCATTAACTAATTAAACTTGCTAGCTTTTACAAATTATATTGACACAAATATTGTAATTTCGCAGGTCTTTGTGTGCTTTGTGTTTAAGGTGAGGAGGGAGACATGAGATGGTTGAGCAAATTTTAAATAACAAATACATCAGTTAATAATACGCCGAAACTACGTTGTTATTGCATGCTCCGTCTTGCAAATTCAAGTAGAAGAAAAGTATACGCACAAAACCCATAAATTGCTTTAGATAGTTAGTTAGAATCAAAACCATTAGAAGACATTAGAAGCGATGGTGCTCTATAAGCCATGTAGTGCTTGTTCTTGGAAAAGAAAACAACTAATATGCACAGTAGCACACAGCTGCAGCACAGTAGGTCATGAAAGCTAGCAAGAAATCCACAAGTTCGAGAGACAATGAAAGCTAGCCATATCTTGACTAATCTTCCCATTATCCGTCGCAAAAAAATAATAATCTTCCCAGTAAAAAGAAGAGACCATGAGGGGATACGTATCGGAGAAAATTAAGAAGCAACAATTGGATGATGCCCTAATTAACGCAGATTCAGGATTGACTCAGCGATATCAAATCAGACACACCCATGTACAGGGTGGACTAACTCAACTCAAGAGAGCCATGCGTATGTGCAGATGTCCATAGATTCGATGAGAAGATTGCAAGAAGAGAAGCGGTTCGATCTGTTCTGACGATTATGTGTTGGCCTTGGCTCTCTTTTCAAAATCCTAACGAATTAACAAACAGAAAGTAGGGAAAGCAAGAAAACTCTTGAGCTGCATGCGGGCGGCGAGCAGAACAAAAGCAGCCCCCCGGCCGGCGAAAGGAAGGAGAAACAAATCATAAATCTCTCTCTGAAGCCTTTTCCAGCAAATCTTTGAAAAAGGACAAAATCCAGCAAGAAACTCGCTAGATCGTATAGAGTTACTAGTTGCACGCATCTCTCCTGCTTGTAGATCTGCGCATGAAAGAGATGGAGGGAAGGGGAGATTACCGCGAGAATTGTGTTGCAGAAGTTGCAGTGCACGTAGCAGACATGCTCCGGCGGAGCGATCTGTGCCGACATTATTTCCCTTGCGGACGTAGCAAGATACCTCCGCGAATAAAAGAAGGGGAGGGGGGAGAGGATGAGGAAGACGAAAGAAGGAAGATGGAGAGAAGAAGAAGGAGAAGTGAAGGACCACGTACTAGTGGCCACAGTGCCGTCTGATATTTATATCAGTACAACGTGTAAATACAGAAATGTAGAGAGAGAGAGAGAGAGAGGGAGAGAGAGAGAGAGGAGCTTGCTAGTGGTGCAAGCAGGAGCGGGAGGTGTGCGTGTGGGGGACGCTTTTTGCTGGTGTCGCCCTCCATCGCAAGGACAGTTGATGACGGTGGAAATGCAAATATCACTATTAATTATTTTGGCAAGAAAATAACACTAGTATTGAAGTTGGGAACTCCCTCTTTGTGCCCATGGAAGGACGGGCTAGGTAAATTTCGTACCGTCTTCCATTTTGCAACACAAATCTTCACCGGCTAAATCCGACGACATTGTTTTGCAGCAGTTTTTTTTTAAAAAAAAGGGGGGCTCCCCGGCCTCTGTATCAGAGTGATGCATATGGTCTTCTTATTAACCAAATAAAGCAGTGCCAACATTGTTTCAAGGTCTCCAAAAGTAATAAAAAACAGAGAAGGCTCACACAGAGCCCAGCAAGGTTAGAAACACCAACTAGCCACGAAAAGACGCCACAACCGGCTGGCTAAAAATAAATAGATAAACTAGTTGCCTATCATATTACATGACCGCCATTCAAACCGGTTGAAGATATCCCGAGCTACCATCTCCCAGCGGAAAGATCCAGTAACCAAAAGCTCCCTGGCCTCCATCGGAGTGAGTAGCGACCACGAACGGATCAGTGCCGTGGTTCGGAAGATAACCTGCAAAAAATGGATAAGTGATATTCTGTTAAAAACCAAATCATTTCTGCAAGTCCAGATAGTCCACAACAAAGCGCAAACTCCAACCCGAATGTGTCTCGCTAAGTCAGGCTCAATCCCATTAAGTCATGTCCCAAATAATGCGTTGACAGAATTCGGTGGATTGATATTAAAAGCAATGTGGACCGTCCGCCAAAGGACTTTGGCCAACGGGCAATCAAAAAAGAGGTGTCTGATTGTCTCATCCCGATCACAGAAACTACACCTTGTAGGTCCTGTCCAATTACGCTTTATCAAGTTGTCTTTGGTTAAAATCATTTGTTTATGAACAAACCACATAAACACTTTTATTTTCAAAGGAACTTTGACAGCCCAAATATGCTTGGATGTAGGAATGGAGTTCGAATTAATAACATCAATATACATTGATTTAACTGTGAATACTCCAGACTTAGTCAGTTTCCAGCGTAATTCATCGGGTTGTTGAGAAAGCTGAACGTCCATCAGTCTCCTAACTAGACGGAGCCATTCTTCTCAATGATTGCCTGCTAGCGACCGTCGAAACTGAATATTAAGGGGGATAGGTTGAAATACCGATGCGACGAACACCTCACGTCGTCGGACAATACGGTACAAAGACGGATATTGGATGGCCAAGGGTGTATCGCCGAGCCAAGTATCCTCCCAGAAACGTGTACTAGCACCGTTTCCAACAACAAACTTCATCCTATTAAACAAAGATTGTTTGACTTTCATCAGTCCTTTCCAAAAAGGTGAATCAGTCGGCCTGGCTGTGGCCTGGGACAAAGTTTTTGTCTGGAGGTACTTGCTGCGAAGGATTTGAGCCCACATAGCATCATTCTCTGATGAGAGCTTCCACAACCACTTGCTAAGAAGGCATCTGTTCTTGACTTTTAGATTCTCAATACCAAGACCCCCTTGGTCTTTCGGTCTACAAATGATATCCCATTTAGCAAGCCGATATTTTCTTTTAAGCTCATCACCCTGCCAAAAGAAACGCGATCGATAAAAGTCCAGTCTTTTCCTAACACCAACTGGGACCTCAAAGAACGATAGGAGAAACATAGGCATACTCGTGAGCACCGGATTTATCAGGATTAATCGGCCTCCGTATGACATGAGCTTACCCTTCCAGCAACTCAGTTTCTTCTCAAATCGGTCCTCTATGCACTTCCATTCTCTGTTTGTCAGCCTACGATGGTGTATTGGAATACCTAGGTAAGAGAAGGGTAACTCTCCCAACTCGCATCCAAACAATTGCCTATAAGCCTCCTGTTCTTCTTTGGCTCTACCAAAACAGAACAGCTCGCTCTTATGAAAGTTAATCTTTAACCCAGTCAATTGTTCAAATAGGCATAACACAAGCTTCATATTTCTCGCCTTGGTCAAGTCATGCTCCATAAAGATAATTGTATCATCGGCGTACTGAAGGATGGATACACCTCCATCAACAAGATGAGGTACCAATCCACCTATTTGACCATTTTCCTTAGCCCTTCTTATCAAAATTGCTAACATATCCACCACAATGTTAAACAGGATAGGGGACATCGGATCTCCTTGTCTTAGGCCCTTATGTGTCTGGAAGTAATGACCTATATCATCATTTACTTTAATTCCCACACTACTTTTTTGCGTAAATGATTCAACCTGTCGGCGCCAGGCTTCATCAAAACCTTTCATACGCAATGACTGTTGGAGGAATGGCCATTTGACCTTATCGTATGCTTTCTCGAAATCCACCTTAAAAATTACTCCATCTAATTTTTTGGAGTGGATTTCATGGAGCGTTTCATGCAGGACGACCACTCCTTCAAGGATATTTCTGTCCGGCATGAAAGCAGTTTGGGATTGTTGCACCACACAATGCGTAATCTGTGTGAGCCTATTAGTCCCGACCTTGGTGAAGATTTTGAAACTAACATTGAGGAGGCAGATCGGCCTGAACTGCTCAATTCTCACAAGCATCCGTTTTCTTAGGAAGCAGTGTGATAGTTCCAAAATTCAAGTGAAATAAGTGAAGCTGTCCGGAGAACAGATCGTGGAACATAGGTAGTAAATCCCCCTTAATAATGTGCCAGCACTTTTTATAGAACTCGACCGGGAGTCCATCCGGTCCGGGTGCCTTATTGTTTTTCATCTGTGCAATAGCATCAAACACCTCCTTCTCTGAAAACGGGGCAACCAGAATATCATTGTCGGCAGCCGATAGTTGAGGCACATCCTCAGTCCTGGACTCATCGAGGGATACACAATTATCCCCCGGAGGTCCAAATAACTGCCTATAATACCCGGTAATATATGTTTTTAGGTTATCCTGTCCTAAAATCGTGCCCTCATCTTGTTCAAGTTGGAAAATACGCTTCTTTCTGTGCTTACCATTAGCAATCAAATGAAAGAATTGAGTATTAGCGTCCCCTTGGACCACTTTGCGGACTTTAGCTCGCAAAGCTCACTTCAATTCTTCTTCACGGAGAAGTTCTTTCAACCTCTTCTCCGCCTCAGTTTTAACCTGGAGCTCAGCTGGCAGCAAAATCATGGATTCGGCCTTTATGTCTAGGGCCTGTATAAGAGAGAGGAGTCTATCCTTTTCAATCTTATACACACCACTGAGGTGTTTAGCCCAACCCCGTAAGAAGCTTCTCAAATGCCTAATCTTATTATGCCAACGCTCGACTGCAGCCGTACCTCATGCACCCCTAGCCCATTCCCTGGCAATCAGGTCCAAAAAGCCCTCGCGTTCGAACCATGACATCTCGAAAGAGAAGGTGTTCTTGTTACCCACGTGGTTCGGCTCCCCTGAGTCCAGAAACGAGGGTGTGTGATCGGATATTCCCCGCGAGAGAGCTTGCACCGTAACCAGAGGGAACTTTTGTTCCCACTCCACGCTCGTGAGAACTCGATCAAGTTTTTCGTAGGTTGGGTTTGGCAGAGCATTAGCCCAGGTAAACTTTCTATCCGAAAGCTCTGTCTCCCTCAGATCTAAGCTTTCGATAATGGTATTGAACATAAACGACCACCTGCCGTCAAAGTTATCATTATTCTTCTCCTCTCTCCTCCTAATGATATTGAAATCACCCGCAACTAAAATTGGGAGCTGTTCTGACCCACAGATTCGAACAAGGTCCGCCAGAAACTCCGGTTTAAGCTCGGGCTGTGCGGCACCATAAACCGCCACCAAAGCCCAGTTGAAACCATCTACTTTAGACCTGACTCAAAACTTAACCGCGAAGTCACCCATTACTACACTTCGGAGTTCAAGTGAATCGCATCTCACACCTAGCAAGATACCACCTGATCTTCCTCGTGGAGGGAGGCAATGCCAATCGAAATCAATACCACCTGCAAGAGAGGACAGGAACTGGGGCGCAAAGTTTTCTTTACCAGTCTCCGATAGAGCAATGAAGTCTAAACGCTGCTCTAGAGATGCCTCAGCAAGAAACCTTCTTTTAGCCAAGTCCTTTAGACCTTTGCTATTCCAAAAGATTTCTTTCATATTTTGTCGTGGAATTTTTTAGTAGTCTGAATCCTAGCACTCATACGAACTGCAGAATCGGGATAGATCTTTCGTTTCCACTTGCGCTTTGGTTTACTAGGCTCTGACGCCCGGTCCTCATAACCCGGTTGAATGATACTTCCATCGGCAGTCTCTAGGGGCACATCATCGTCCTCAGACTCATGATTGGGGGGTGCTAGATCCGCACACAAAGTATTGAGCACTCTAACCCCTAACGCATCAATCTCATCATCATTCATCGGTTTAACCGCTGCAAGATTACGAATAGTCTCTAAGGCACGCTCCGCCTCCAAATCTAACAGGTCATTCACCGAATTGGAAATCTCACTATCAGTAGCACCTAGTGAAACTCCTAATTGGTTTGCATTATTTATAATCTCCTCATTAGAAAAATGCAATAAAGAATTAGATATGTTGACAGACATACCAGAAGAGATCGCAGCCTCCTGAAGCTTGGCCGCCCTCATAGCGCACCACTGCTGCATATCACAAAACCTCCGGGAGCTCGTGGAAACGAGCACTCATCTGTATCCCCGTCGAGGTGGGGTCCGGGATCCCGCCAAAAGCAATGACCTCCTCCCTAGTGAAGCCTCACGCTGAGTCCC